TTTAGATCTTGAAAAATTTACAAAAAGGTTTTGTAAATAAATTCAAAGAGTTGAATTATTTCTTTTAAAACAAGAAAGAGTTCTTGTTTTTAACTTAGTCTTTGAGAAGCTTTACAAAAGGAGTTTTGTAAAGAAATTCAATAGTTGAATTATTTCTCAAAATACAAGAAAGAGTTCTTGTAAAATTTCCTTATAAATTATATTCCATATTTAATTGAAAACCGAGAAGTTTCTACTAGCGAAGAAGCTGTCGTCGGAACCGGATTTCAAAAGGTGGATACGTTTAGAGGGAAGACACTTGGATTCCTAAAGCGAGTAACCACAAGTACGAGAAGTGAAGTTACCAATCCGGAAACCGATTTCCTCAATCCATCTACGATTTTGAAGGAGTTCAAGATTAACGGTAAATATTGTATTTACTATCAAACAAATCAAAATTTGTATTATTATATGTTTTTAAAGATGACGATCTGTTAATTCGCCATATGTATGTATGAGATATGTATTTAATTGTTAAATACATGTTTTAAAAAAAATTTAAATTTCGCTGCATATAGCTCGTACAGTACAGGCGAACCCAACAGTACATCAGGCCCTATCAGAAGTCTCAACCATTGTAGAACCCAGTCATAGCCGGCCGACAAATTTTTTAAAAAAATTGTAAAAAATCGTTTAGCAAGTAAAAAAAAAAAAATTAATTGTGGATTGGAGAGTCTTTTCCCGGTGCGTGAGGGTTGTCCCGCCATTTTTTTAAATTTTTTCAAAATTTTTGGATGTTTTGTTGTTTTTTTTTTACAAAGTTTTTTTTTTTAAGTTCAAAAATCTATTTTTTCTGCAAAGTTTTTTTTTAAGTTACAAAAAAAAAAAGTGATTTTTTTATTATTATTATTTTAAAGTAAAAAGGACAAAAATGTTTCTTAAGGGGCAATATCTAATAATAGGGGACGGTGAATAATAACACCCAAAACTAATTCACACTTGGTCCAGTGTGTCCTTACTTGCCCATGTTATATTATTATCTTTCAAGCATAACTGAATTTTTTTTAACAATGATAGTGATTAAAACATGGCGTCAAATTAATGTCGAATTGAATAGCAAGTCCAGGGCCACACTACCCCAACTAGTTCATGCACTTATATCAACATGACAAGTTGTATCTGTTCTAGAAAAGAAAGACAGAAAATCAATTAATTTTACTAAAGAAATGCTTATGTTTGTCTCACAAATTATGAGAAACCACGTTATCTTTGTCATCATAAATTTGGCAAATTATGAAGATTCCGAAATATGACTAATTTGCACCTTCTAGGCCGCTACAAATATATCAATTCAGCTATTTAGAGCTCATTTGTTTATCAATAATCCGTTCAAAATGAGTTAGTATTTAGTGAAATTTTAAGAATGTATTAAAATAATATTTAAAATAAAATAATTAAAATTAATTTGCTGTAAAAGTAGAAGATAAATGATTATAAATGATAGAGAGTTAAAATTATGTGAGTGGACATATTATTTAATTGTGCAAATAATATTAATGATAGTATAATTTAATTAAATTTAAATTAAAAATTTAAATAAATAATTTGATAAACAAGCATGCCCTTATTTATTTAATTGTCATCCTATTTACAGTTGAAAAGTCCTACAACAGAACTAAGGAAAATAAAACTAGTTATAACTTTGGCCCCACCTCTTCTCACGGTCATTTCAGTCTCCAAAGTGGTTGGTGTCTCCATCTTTCCCATATTATTACATGAAAAAAATTAAAATACAAAACTATGCGGAAATTCAATTCTCAAACTTAAAAATATTTTGAAAATATTTTCTTTTCATAAATATTTATGAAATTTCAATATTATTCACATTTTTTAACTTTACAGCTTAAAACACATTATTACTCAAACTCGATTAGCAATTTATGAAATGAAATAAATTATAATGTTATATTTCATATACATAAGAAGATTGAAGAAGTAATGTTCATAGAAAGTTGAAAATTACAATGCACCTGATGAAAAAT